CATGAATAGGTAGTTAAGAAAAGAAGGACTACAAAAGGCCAGTAGCACATACAAGATGCTCAGCATCACTATCATCAGGGAAATGCAAATAAAAAGAAAATGAAAAACCATCACTTAATTACTAGAATGGCTAAAGTTAAAAAAACTGACAATACCAAGTACTAGTAGAGATGCAGAACAACTGGAAATCTCATTCATTGCTAATTGAAATCTAAACCACTGCAGCCACTTTGGAAAACAGTTTGGCATTTAAACCTACAACTGCAATATTGTGGCCACTGTAATTAGGTAGCTATTAATTTAATAACAGGAAAGAAGCAAAGGGAAGGCCAGGCATTATAAGCATGGCCATCTGGGCAGCTTCACCAGGAAGCTGCAATTGCACACACCCTGGGGAACCACCAGTCCATCCCCTGTAGATTACTGAGGGAAAGGACTGCACAAAGGAGAAGATGGGCGCATGAGCAGTGAGTCAGGATAATACAGGGAAGGTACTTGCCTGTCAGTCTAATCAAAAACAAAGATAATTAGCTAGAAGGTGTGAAACCACTGCAAACTCGTGAAATTTGAAAATACATAATTCCCAGACAAAGTTCTCTCTCTTATTCCTCTGGCTTTGCTCCTGCTTCCCTGTGTTCCCTCCATAGTCATGTGGACCATGTGGACCCCACAGGCCATGGACTGCAGCTGGGAACACAAGCTACGCTAGCCTGGTGCTGGACTGGACTGTGCAGATATGGAGTGGAAACTCTAGGCCACGGCTTTCATTCTGGCCCTGCTAAAGACAACATGGGACATTTTCCCTGGCGGGACAGAGGGAGATGGGGCCTTGGAAACCCAGGAATTTAATTCCACGCAAATAAGTATCATTTATTCTCTCATGCAAGCCTCAGAAAATTCCTTTTCTTGTGACATCCCAAGAAGTTCACTTGAACTGGTAACAGGCAGGGACGCGGAGGACAATATGACCCAGGATTTCCAAATCCTAGGTGTATATACCAAGAAAAACAAAAACCTATGCCCTCACAAAGACAAATAATGTTCACATTACTTCATTCATATTTGACCAAAAAGTGGACACAACCCAAATATCAATCAACTGATAAAAGAAAAAATTAAATGTGGTATAAGTATTGTATACTACTTAACAATAAAAGAAACACAATATTAATACATACAATATGAATGAATCTCAAAAATGGCAAGATGAATGAAAAATATCCATAACAAAAGAATACATGCTGTTTGAATCAAGTTGGGTGACATTCAGGAAAAGCCAAAATTAGAGAGAGAGAGAAAGCAGATAACTAACTGGTTGCCTGAAATGAGGGGTCAAAAGTGGGAATCAACTTTACAGGGGCACAAGGGAACACTGAGTGATGGAAATGTTCTATATCTTAATTGTGGTAATGGTTACACAACCCCATACATTTGCTGAAATGCAGTAAATTTGTACACTTAAACTATTGTAAATTATAGCTCAAAAAAGCCAGAGGAAAGAAAACCCTGATATTTTTGTGGGCTAAAGTTAATTAGAGTGTATATTTGGAAAAATAAGCCATTAAAGGACAGCCAGAGGAACTGTTAAAAAAAAAAAAGAATAGGGAAATGGTACCCTAGCACTACCACATATTAAAACATATAAAACCTCTGTAAGTAAAGTAGCATATAAATTAATGAACAGGACTAAGGAAATAGACCAGAAAATCCAAATACAAAACTGCATATGAAAATTTAGTATATAATTAAGGCAACATCTCAAATTAGTGGAAGAAAAGATAGATTTTTTTAAACAATATACTGTGTTGGCATAATTCCTCACACTATACATCTCAAACTGATCACAGATTTAAATTAAAAATGAAAAGCATTGAAATACTAAATTTAAAAAGTGGGTGAATTTCTCTAACACCTATGAGTGAGGAAAAAGCTGTCTTATGATTCAAAATGCAGATGCAACTTAAGATTGACAAATTTGACTACGAAGAAAAAAATTTCTGCATGGGCAAAAACAAACACACAAAAAGCAAAGTAAGACAAATGACAAATATCTGTGATTTCTATCACAGGAAAAAATATACCGTACATAAAATATGGCCATAGAAAACAGACAAAGAAAACAATGGTCCAATAGAAAAATGAGCAACAGAAATATTTCAAAGAAAAAGAACTACAAAATAGTCTTCAAACTTCAATTTAAAAACAACCTCACTAACAACTAAGAAAATACAAATTTAAACAACAATAAGACACCATTTCTGACCTATCAGATTGGCAAAAAGCCCACTGACATAAACTTTCCAGGTTAAGACCAAAGGGAAATAAATATTCCCAAAGGAGTGGTATTTAACAATTAAGCTTCCACCTAGCAATCCCACTTATGAAGAACTCTATATCAAAGAGTCTTTATACCAAAGAATTGCTAACAACATCATGAGAAGACACTTTTACTACTTATTGCGGTGCCATCTATAAAGGACAATACTGAAGCAACAGGTTGAATAATCTATAATAAATCATCATGACCTTGAGGTAGGCAAAGATTTCCTAGGTACAATACCAAAAGCATAAGTAATAAAAGAAAACGTTGCAAAATTGGATGTTATCAAAATTAAACATTTTTGCAGTTCTAAATACACTATCAAGAATAAAACAAGTTGCCCTAGCTAGTTTGGTTCAGTGGATAGAGCGTCATCCTGTGGACTGAAGGTACCCAGGTACGTTTCTGGTCAAGGGCACATGCCCAGGTTGTGGGCTTGATCCCCAGTAGGGGACATGCAGGAGGCAGCCAATCAATGAGTCCCTCTCACCATTGATGTTTCTATCTCTCTCCCTTCTCCCTTCCTCTCTGAAATCAATAAAGATATTTTTTTAAAAATTAAAAAAAGAATAAAGCAAGCTATACAAGCCATCAAATAGACCATCAAGAAGTAACTATAAAAGCCACAGACTTAAGAAAAATTCAAATTACATATCCAATAAGTGATTCACTGTAACAGGAATGTACCATAAAGAACTCTTACAATGCATTAATTTTTTAAAATTGATTTTAGAGAGAGGAAGGGAAAAAGGGAGAAAGAAAGAGAACCATTGCTATGTTGTGCCACTTATTTATACACTCATACAATGCACTAATTTTTAAAAAAACAAATTTAAAAATAGGCAAAGGGTTTATACAGGCACTTAACCAAAGAATATATATAAATAGGTAATGTGTTCATTAAAAGATATTCAACATCATCAGTCATTAGGAAAATGCAAATAAAAAACATAATAAGATACTAGTTTACATCTTCTAGGATAGCTACACTAAAAAACTGAACAGCCCTCTCAGTGTGCTCAGTGGTTGAGCATCGTCCTAGGAACAAGGAGGTCAGGGCATATGCCCAGGTGTGCAGGAGGCAGCCAATGGCTGATTCTCTATCATTGATGTTTCTCTCTCTCTCCTCCTCTCCCTTCGTCTCCAAAATCAATAAAAAAAATATATTTAAAAAAACTGAAAAATTCAAGTGTTCACAAGGATATGAAGAAATTGGAACGATTGCTGGTGAAACTATAAAGTGGTACGGTACTCTAGAAAACAGTTTCTAAAAATTTTAAACATAGATTTATTCTGCAACCCAGCAATTCCACTCCTAATTATCTACCTAAGAAATATAAATATATATATCCACACAAAAACTTGTACACAGATGCTCACAGTAGCATTATTCACAATAACCAAAAAGTGGGAACAGCTTAAGTGCCCATTAAGTGATGGCACATCCATACATTGGAATATTATTAGAGAGTAAAAAGGAATAACGTATTAATAGATGCCATAAATGGATCAACTCTGAAAACATATGCTAAGGGAAAAGAACAAGTCACAAAAGACCACATGTTATATGACATTTGTATGAAATATCCTGAAAATAGAAATACATACATAAAGTAGATTAGTACTTGCCAGGAGATGGGCATGGTTGCACAACTCTGGAAATTTACTAAAAGTCACTGAATTGCATAGTTAAAACAGTTGAGTTTTATGGTATGTAAATTATATTCCAATTAACTTTTTAAAAGAAAGATAAGCCACAGACTAGAGCAGACATTTTCAATACATTAAAAAATGTTACTAAAATGCATTTTTTAAAATTCAACCAATCAAAAAGAAAGATAACCTAGGCAACAGAAAAACAAAAATCCATTTTAAAAGTCTGAAATGTCAATTCAGATAAAGAAACCCCACTGGTCAATAAATTTATACATAAAAATATACATGATGTAAAAGATTAATCTGCCCAAGTGACTTTATGCACAGCTTAAACTAAGAAAATAAATGGTCAATGCTGTGCACAATTCTTCATTTTGGTAGGTCTTTTAAAAAAAATGGTTAGGTTCCATTGTCCTCCGAACTCCAATTATAGACAGAATATACCAAGAAAGATTTCCATTATAACTGTCCCATTATGCCTTCCCTTTTCAGCTTGATAAAGAATATTGTTGCAACTTGGTCTTGCTTGCTTTTAAATTCTCACACTTAATGCCCTGGCTGTTGTGACTCAGTTGGTTGAGCATTGTCCCATGTACCAAGTTGCTGGTTCAATTCCCGGTAAGGGCACATGCCCAGGTTGTGTGCTCAATTCCCACATGGGGTGTACAAGATGCAGCAGCCGATCAATGTTTCTCACAACGATCTCTCTCTCTCTCTCTCTCTCTCTCTCTCTCCCCCCTTTCTCTGTGAAATCAATAAAAACATATTTTTAAATTACAAATTCTCATGCTTACAGTCATCTTTGCCAAAAGATTGTCAGAGTAATCTAATTCTTTTAATAAAATACAAAGTGATTCATACAAAAGAGCAAAAAGAACACTCATTTTTCCTTTTCCAATCCCTCTCCCTAAAAGTAATATTTTAAAGAAATTAACAAAATTACTTAACAAACAAAATAAAAGAGCCCCCCCCAACCCCCCGCAAAAACACACACAGAGAAATAGGCATGGAAATGTGCACTAACCTTCCAGTAGTCAGATTGTAAACTGTAGTACCTCTGGTATGCAGATAATGCTGAAAGGAGAAAGGTAAGTATGAGTCACAATTATGTCCTATTTCAAAATCAATAATACAAGAAACATTATAACAAACTTCCCACCAAACCCACCACCCAGCGGACAGAGTTAAGATGAAATAATTTAGAAAACTTAGAAATCTACGCGCCCCCCCACCCCGCCCCACACACACACACTCATTGTCAAATATATAGAGTTCAAGGTTGTAAAACCATGGTCACATATCAGATCTATACAGGAACAGAATCTAGGCTACCTCTTTCATCAACTTGACCTTCCAGAGACCAAATCTAGTAAGAAAATTAAGATTTTCCAACGCTACTCCAGAATATGCTAGCTTATTTGTTTTCACAAAGGATCTTTAACTTACAAGAATGACTAAGAGCTCAAAAACCTCAAATGGCAAAAGAGCTATTTTGTCTGTGAAGCTTCCTTTCATACAATCAATAAGAAATCCACCTCAGAATTATCTTATTCCAACTCAATTCCAAAATAGGATATCCTATACCCTTAAATCTACCTCAAGGTAATAAAGGGCTCAGAAAAAAATTAAAGTAGTTCCTATCAATTTAAGAACTTGGTGAGGAGGAGGTTAAAAGACAAACAAAAAGTTATATATACATATTAGAATTGGCGGAGAGATCACTTTTTTAAAAAATTGATGAGCAATAAATAAGTCATGGGGATGTAATGTACAACATAACTATATTTGAAAGTTGCTAAGAGAGTAAATCTTAAATGTTCTCATCGCAAGAAAAAAATTTTGTGAATATGTATGGTGATGGATGTTAGCTATATTTTCTGTGATCATTTCCCAATATATACAAATACCAAATGCTATACACCTGAAACTAATACTATATTTCAATTATACCTCAATTTTTAAAAATGACTCTTAAATTTTCAAATAAGATTTTCAAAGAGTATAATAGCAGAAAATGGAAATAAGTATGTTTTAAAACTCCATTTCTAATGTTTTCATAGTCTATCAGTCAAGCGCCTAAATACATATGAATAACATAGAGAACTTTCTGAATATATTCAAATTAGAGAAGCATTAGCCAAAACATGACATATCTGAATAAGTAACTTCTCTGAATAATGTTCATCTTTTTGGCATAAAGATGTCAACCAATCTCTCTCTCTCTCTCTCTCAATTTAAAAAAACAAACAAACATGTCATGGGGTAAAGATTTAAAAAGGGGGGGCGGGGCGTACGGTATAACTGAAGAATAAAAAAGAAAAATCCAAAGCCATACTACAACTCGTTTGCAATTAAACAAAATAGAGATCTATAGAAACAGAGTGGGGAAATAAAAGGGATAAGGATTTAGTAGGTGACAGAGACTTGAACATGCTTGGAAGTATTATGGCTCTAAGTTAAGATTGTCAAAAGAAGAGAAAGAAAGCATGCCTAGTGACAAGTCCATACAGACAGCACAAGGAAGAAAAGAAACCACACTGTAGGGCAGTGATGGCGAACCTTTTGAGCTCGGCGTGTCAGCATTTTGAAAAACCCTAACTTAACTCTGGTGCCGTGTCACATATAGAAGTTTTTTGATCTTTGCAACCATAGTAAAACAAAGACTTATATTTTTGATATTTATTTTATATATTTAAATGCCATTTAACAAAGAAAAATCAACCAAAAAAAATGAGTTCGCGTGTCACCTCTGACATGCGTGTCATAGGTTAACCATCACTGCTGTAGGTTAAGGGTATAGCTTTGCCAGAAAAAGGGAGCCTTCTTCACAGTTAGATGCACTATAAATGTGATAAAGAAAAGGATGTAAAATTCAATCTATACTCCTATATTATATATTAGACCATACATTTACTTCAGGCAGAACTCAGCATTTCTCTTTTCATCCCTAGCCCAATGTGTAACACTATAGGCAGGTTAGCTGCTAGTGGTTGAGTCTATGGGTATGGAAGGGAAGGAAAGGAAAGAACACAAAATCTGTCAGTTGCACTGACTGCCATCTTTAGGTCATAACAGGTTGTGGTTGCCTAAGGTTATTAAGTCAGTAGATTTCTTTGTTTTTCTGTGGCTGAACTGAAAAACTGTATTTATACCTTGGGATAAATGCTATCTCAGAGAGCTTATATTAACTGTTTCATTGTATATAAATGACTGATGTGCCTAGCTCTCTAGTCAGCTTTCTACCTTTTCAAATCTATGTCTAAAGCACACCTTCCGTTATATATATAGCATTTATATTAATATACATTAACATTTGAAAAAAAACCCTGGACAGCATCTACCACAACAGACCTTTGATCCCATGTTCCTCTCTCCACAAGTCTGAAAAGATTTCAGATTACAGAGAGAAGCAAACAGGAAATTAGAAAAATTTACTCCTGTGTCAGTATTTTCACTGAGGTCTTCAAGTCAAACTAATACATCTACTGAAATCGAAGATTTAATACTTCTCTATCATTATTAAAATAACATACACAAGGTCTTTGTATCTCACATTTGGCTTACCACAAGAGACACCAAGTAGGTGTCTTCTTTGTGTTCCTTCAATATGTTCTGCCACCGGCTCCCTGGTTCTTAAAAGCTACGTAACATTTGCTTGTTAACTGGACACAGGCTTCTACCAACCTCGGTATGCTCACTATTGTGCTTACTTGGTTATTTCTCAATTATATTTTCTAACTCTAGGCCACGAGTAGACTGAAGAAAATTGGTGATTCTCAAATTATAAAGAAAGTGAGTGAAGGTATCAGTGGTTAAAAAAAAATACATTTATGAAGTTATATGGAAAAATAGGGTGCAATAACTGTGAATGCAATGAAAACATGAAACAATCACCTTAAACTGTATCAGTGATACATAATATTCATTCTGTGGATACTATGTCAGTATACGTCAATGTTCTGGATTTTTATATCATTTTTATTTCAAAAGTCAATTTGTATTGTATCACAAACATATATGCTATACAAACTAATTCCCAATGACTATCTGAAAGAAGCTTTAAACAAAGAGCAGATTCTTAAAAGAATCACAACCTTTACTTCCAACAGCCATAGCAATAAGTGAACCATGAAAAAATCAAAAAATTGATAATTCTTAAAGAAACCAAAGTCAAAGTTATTAAAAAAAATATGTACTTTCTGTTCTTATACTATATCTATATCTCAAGATGGAGTATTGTCATTCCAATCAAGAAAGACAAAAAAGAGAGAGCGCGCCAACTCTGACTTAAGACTTTCCCACATTAACAACGCTTGGAATGTAAGTAACTTGTCCTAGCCAATTGTAACTAAAACAATGAAAACCTATTTTGCCCAAAAGTGACAGACAATGCAACAAATGACCAATTACTTGAGGAAGGAAAATCTATCACTGGCTGGAATTTTAGGAAAAGCTTCTAGCTCACCACAAACCAGGAAGAAACTATTTTTAAACAAACCAGAAAGAAACTATTTTTTTTGTTTTTCATACTAATATCAGCAATAATTATTATATCTCCTTCAACTAATTTTTTTTTTAACTTTCAAAGCTCCTACTATCCATCCCCTAGTCCAGGGGTGGGCAACCCCTGGCACGCATGCCAAACATGGCACACCAGTAACTTTTGCTGGCACGTGAAACCCTCTCTTATAATCTTCCATTTACAATTTTTTTCTTAATATCGACTTTTTTATTTTTCAGATAAATTCACTGTAGGTGCATCTTAGATAAATAACTAATTTTCCATAACAAGTTATCTTAAAGACCATAGAAATGGATTGATGAGAGAGGGGAGTGATGCAGCAGCAAAAGTCCCACTGATAATATCAAATGGAGTCATAAAGTTTTCTGTCGGACTATCAGTGTACATGTATACATTTAAAAAATTAATGTATTTTTCATCATCATATACTGTGTTTTTGTTGCTCGAATGAATTTTATTATTTCTTCAAGGTTCTTCACATACGTACACCTTAAGAGATATCAAGTAGGCGTAACATGTTCTCAAAAAATTGGGGTTGGCACGCAGAAGAATTTTGAGTCAGAGATTGTGCTGGTTTGGGCACGCACTCACAAAAAGGTTGCCCACCCTTGCCCTAGTCTCTTACCTCGTGGTTTCTATCTTTTTGTGATTTTGCTGTATACGCTGAGGTATTCTGCTACTTGATTTTCTAAGTAACTAACTTAGTGATTACCCTCTCATATAATGTGCCACACATATTTACTTGATATTTACATATAATTCTATTAATTACACTGCTCCAAGGCTCCATCACATATATTCACAAGAATATATATGCTTGCCTTTCAGCCCAGGGTTCGCTGCTTCTCCAACCCAAAGAAGAGAAATCACTGCACCATCTCCATGGCTTAAGGCAGTTTAACAGCTCTATCAGCTGTTTGGTTCAGCTGAGGTCAATGGGTTAGCTTTGAGGTTAGGAGTGAGGAGGTATGATAAGACAATGAAAAAACCACTCAAATCCCACTTGAAGAAAGGACTGTTGGGAATCCTACATGCACTCAGCCTCCAGCAGTGAAATGCCTTAGCTGCAGAGAGCTTCCTTGCTGAAGTCACAGTCCTTCCCAGGCTGGCCCACATTCATTATCAAATGGATGGAACATAAAGACCTAGTCATCTATTCTAGCTCCAGAGCTCCCGATGGAGTAGGCCAAGGCTGTCACAGAAGTTATCTCCCTCTGTCCAATCTTAGTTCCATCCCCACCTTCCACAGGTGTTGATCCTAAAGGCATTCCTTACTAAACATCCTGTATGTAAACTCCCTCTAGAGCAGTGGTTCTCAACCTTCCTAATGCCGCGACCCTTTAATACAGTTCCTCATGTTGTGGTGACCCCCAATTTTATTGTTACAAATTGAACATAATTAAAGCCTAGTGATTAATCACAAAAACAATATGTAATTATATATGTGTTTTCCAATGGTCTTAGGCGACCCCTGTGAAAGGGTCGTTCAACCCCCAAAGGGGTCGCGACCCACAGATTGAGAACCACTGCTCTAGAGGAATCCAATCTAGACCAATTACTTTTTCAGGATAAATTCCTAGAAGCCAAACGACCTAATTAAGTGATAGCAATGTTTTTAGACTATACACATTATCAACAAGAAAGGTTAAAATTTTACAAAGCCTTTTTTCCTTCTGCTTCAAATTCATCTAAAATGACAAAAAAAAAATATTTTAATGAATAAATCTATAACAGGAATGATAATCAAAGTATACCATCTGCAGATCAGAAAATTTTTAGGAATTCCTATAAGACAGGAAGCAGATGGGACCAGAATGACAAAGAAGAAGAGAAAAACCACAATCCAAAAGTGTGAACAAAAAAGAGTAGAATTCTACCATTTTCTAGTATAAAAATAGAATCAGTTTTTCACAAGGAATTCCAAACTCAGAAAATTTCACACAACAATGACGACTCAGGACAATAAAGAACTATCTTCACAATAACAGGGCCAGTAAGTCCCCCACATACATATACTTGAGCAGTTTATTCACATGTTCACTGCAAGTCTTATGTATACTTCCCAAAAAGTTATGCTATATAATCTGTTCTCTAAAAATACATGTTTTTTTGGCTGGGGTTGGAGGTTTTCATTTTGTCCTGGTGCCAAAGAGAGAAAAGTGAAGCAGCCTGAGGTAACAAATGTTTCCAATCAATTGGTAGTGGTGGTGGTAGGGTGTGTGAGGGCTACCAGTTTTGGACTTACAGGAAGACAGTGAAGAGAATGGATAGAAATAATTCAATAATTGGTATTTTTAAAGTAATTTTTTAAGTGGGAATGTGGTCAATAAAACTTCAAGGATTATAAAAAAAACACACAAGAAATCACATCTAGGAAATAAAAGCCATCAGCTAGAAATACTTAAAAAGCATACCTCTGCATCTATCCTCTCATTCCTTTTCTTCCTATAACAAAGAATCATCCTACTGATGACCTATAAATGGCCAGTTCATCTACACAATGGTAAGTGGGTCTAAGAGCACATCTTTTCAAAGACTTAAATCCTTAGGTTACCTTTCTGTTTTCCCATTTTATTAGATTATTTCCTCCAGCTAGTCTGCCAATATAGTCCAGTTGACACATGCCCCCTACCTCACCTTCCAAAAAAGAAAAAAGCACCTTCCAAAACAAGTATTTTTGTATTCTTCATTACCTTCACAGCCAAACATTTTATAAATGGAAAATGTAGCTAAATTCATAAACTAATAGTTTTCAAAGCCAATACAGCCCTAACTGGTTTGGCTCAGTGGCTAGAGCGTCGGTCTGTGAACTAAAGAGTCCCAGGTTCGATTCTGGTCAAGGGCGTGTACCTTGATTGCGGGCACATCCCCAGTAGGGGGTGTGCAGGAGGCAGCTGATCGATGTTTCTCTCTCATCGATGTTTCTAATTCTCTCTCTCTCTCCTTTCCTCTCCGAAATCATTAAAAGTATTTTTTTGAAAAGCTAATACATATTTTAATGATCTATAAGCAGCAAGGACATAAGGCCCACATGCAAACCTAATTTTCAAGTTTGGGTCTCTATTTATGTGCTCTCAAATTACTGTGCTATACAAAAAAAAAAAAGGTGCAGCATTAAAAAATTAGATTGCACAGATACCTATTATGTTTCTTTTGTGTAATGGTTTCCTTTAAATAACTTATTAATTTAATTCAAATAAAAATATCTAATAGAGTATTAAATAGTTATTAATGTCTGTTATCCTGAAGTCAACTTGCTAAATACCAGTTTTACATAACAATCCCAAAATGTCTAAGCTATAGCCTCCTCCCCTCATTTAGATTAGAAGACAGAAGCCCTGGGATGTATATATAATCTGCTGATGGTAATGCAGCTAATGGTAAACAATAGAGATGAGCTGCTATAAACAAACAAACAAACAAACAAAAAGCAAGCAAGCATGCCTAACTCCAAAATCCATAGATTACACCTGTCTCAAACTAAAATTGCATTTTCATTAGGAAAGTGTTCACTTGACTTAACACAAAAGTGGCATAATAAAATATCAATACTAAATGCCAGCAATCCTTCACTCTAGCCCTATAATAACCTACCAGTTGTTCTGCCCACTAAACACATATGTGGAAACAAGCATAATAAATCCAACCACTCTACATTAAGAAGTTTACTACAATCAAAGGTTAAAATGTTTTTGCTTATAAAGATGCAGTTTTTGCTATAGATTTACCTTTGGTATTGAGGGAGATAATATTTGGGGGTGCTTTCAACTTCCTAAGTGAGTAATGGTTGGGGGATCAGCAGTTTAGTAAAATAAAAAGGACACTTCTTCGGGGACTACCTCCAGTTATTTAACTCACTTTAATTCTTATAGGAAAAAAAATTTCAAATGAATAAAAATCTTGTTTTAACCAATGCTCATGCTCATATCTGATCATCTCTCTGTGTTATTTACCTTTACAATAAATAACATGGCTACATATAACATTTTTGTTCAAATATTGTCTAGCTCAGTGGTTCTCAACCTCTGGCCCTTTAAATACAGTTCCTCACGTTGTGACCCAACCATAAAATTATTTTCGTTGCTACTTCATAACTGTAATGTTGCTACTGTGATGAATCGTCATGTAAATATCTGATACGCAGGATGGTCTTAGGTGACCCCTGTGAAAGGGTCGTCCGACCGCCAAAGGGGTCGCGACCCACAGGTTGAGAACTGCTGGTCTAGCCAAAATGGAAGTTTTATAGCCAGGATTAAAAAAAAATGCTGAGTTTGTGTTATTTTTCTAAAGTGACCACCAATGGCTCACTTTCTACTATGGTACAACCTTTGACGGGCAGGAATTTTTCATAAGGTAGAACAAAACGGTAGTGCACATGTAGGTGGCTATAAGTTTAACTGAATGGTCTAGAGATAATTTACAAGTTACATGAATTCTTCACATTTCCATCTATCCTGCTTTTTTCTTTCTTTTTTTTCTTTTTTTTCTCGTTTAGGATGTTCATAAGCTTACAATTTCTTAGAAGTAAAACTGGTAGTACCCTTGATAAAGATAGGGTACAAACTATCACAATTATTTTAAACACATATATAAATCAAACAGTAATTAACAAGGGGAAAAATTACCTTTTGGATAATCTTCCAATAAGAGGTTGAAGTGACCTAATTGACAAAAGAAATCAGACTCCACTTTTCCTTCAGCTTTTAAGATTAGAGATTCGTAGCAGCGAACAGCCTAGAAATAAAAAATACAAACATTTAAGAAAAAGACAAAACCCTAAAATGCATTTCCTTCCTGACATAATGCACACATCTTCCATTTAATTATCCAAGAAATCAATATATTTATTTCACCTCTACCTCAGACATACTCAATGTAGCATTCTTTATTTTATTTTATTTTGAAAAGGGGGAAGGGGGAGAAAGAAACATTGAAGTGAGAGAGATTCCTCGATCAGCTGTCTCCCATACACACCCGGACCAGGGAACAAACCCACGACCCTCCGGTGCACAAGAGGCACATGGCCAGGGTGAATGCAGCACTCTTTAGAATACCTAAGTGTTTATTAAAAGAGCCACTAGTTATTACATAAGAATTTTTCCTATCTATAAAATGAAGATGCTTTCCAAATAAGATAATGTAGGAGCACTCTGATAATTTTATTCATAAGCTATAAATCTAAATTATTACTATGGTCTCTGTTGATATAAATAAATAATATCCATCTTTCCAACAAATAGAAAGAACTTTATTAAGTTATGTGACAATTCATAGAATCGCCAGAGTAACATTAACAACTTCCATTTATACTTAACAGCTACTTTTTGCCATAACCTCTACCAGTTTAAACTGCCATAAATTGCCTTTCAACTGTCTCCTCATGATATACATCAAACCCACCAATTCTAATTCTATTCCTAATCCTTCCCCGCACTATTATACATGCATTTGCATTCATTCTCACTGTTCCTTCCCTGAAAACAAAAAAACAAGAAACAATATTTTAAGCTTATCTTTAAAAAAAAAATCCAAGAGACTGCATGAGAAAATGAACAATGGAAAGAAGATAATTCTGGACTCTGACATATTCTAGTTATCATTAGCTACAGAAGAGCCTGGGGAACTTAGCCTCTCTTTTTTGTGTATTAGTAATATTCAAAGGGCTGGCAAAAGGAATAAAATTAGAAAACTTTAGGGGCTTCTAGTCAAGATGGTGGGGTAAGTAAATGTAGTATTTGCATCCTCCCACCACCACATCAAAATTACAAATAAACTATAGAACTATCATTCAGAACCTGAAATCCAGCTGAACAGAAGACGTCCTAAAACTAAGGATATATAGAAGAAGCCACATCCAGACTGGTAGGAGGGATGGAGATGCGGAACAGGCCAGTCCCACACCCACCACATATGGCAGATAAAAATCAAGAGGGATATCTCAGCTGCAGAGGTTCATCCTGAGAAATGAGGGGTCCCAGACCCAAACTAGGCCTCTAAGCCCAGGGTTCCAGTGCCAGGAAGAGAAGTCCCCACAACTCTGGCTGTAAAAACCAGCTGGGATTGTGATTGTGTGAGACAAGAAGGAAGGATCTTAATGGGCTGGCCATGGACTTACTCCGACTCATGCCCTCTGAGCTACATTGCTAGGGCAGCAGCTTGAAGGGCACCAGGAGCGACTGTCTGGAATCAAGGGTGAGGTCTGGGATGGTGGTTTTCTCTCAAAAAGAAGTGCTAGCAGAGGCCACTGTTCATTTTCTGAGCCCTTCTCACACAAAGCCAATAGCCGGAAGCCATATCTGAGTCTCCATCAACCTGGCTAACACTGTTCACCCTGTCTTGGTGATTCCATGAGACCCCCATCCCATCCAACTTGCAGGCCCACCCAAGCTGTTTCCAGTGGCTTTTCCATACCAATGGCCTACCTTGGCTCAGACTACAGACTTTTCCTAAAATCTCTCAAACAAGCAGCATCTGCCCTTGGCCTTGCCATGCCCCATAATGTCTAAGTGTCCCAGGCCTGAAATGCCCAGCTTGGGTGACTAGGGAGGTTGTGACACTGGACCCTACAGGAAATCTACTACATTTTAGGCCACTCAACCAAGACTGAGAGACGTAGCAACTCTAATACATAGAAACAAACACTAGGATGCTGCCAAAATGAGGAGACAAAGAAACATGTCACAAATGAAAGAACAGAACAAAACTCCAAAAAAGGACTAAACAAAATGGAGACAAGCAATCCACTAGATGCAGAGTTGAAAGCAATGGTTATAAGGATGAGCAATGAACTCAGTGAAAACTTCAACATAATAAAAAAGGACAAGGAAACCACAAAAAAGAACCAGTCAGAAATGAAGGATACATGAACTGAAATGAATACTTTAAAGGGAATCAATAGTAGAGTTGATGAATCTGAGAATCAAAACAGCTATCTATATATATAAAAGGCTAAGTGACCTACAATACGTACATCCAACCATCCGGTACATATGATGCACACTGGCAATTTAAAAATAAACGTTGACTCACACATGTGCAATACATGTAAAACTCTCACTGGCGCCAATCACACTGTCACTCTCAATCATGAATTTGGTTGACACTTCTATTATAGAGAAAGGGTGACTAGCAATACTAAAATATTTCTTCTAATTAATTTTCTTTCAATGTGCATGAATCTGTGCACCGGGCCACTAGTTTGGAATATAAGGAAGAAAAAAAAAACACCCAATCTGGACAACAAAAAGCAAAAAGAATCCAACAAATAAGGATAGTGTATGGAGCCTCTGGGACAACTCTTCAAGCATACCAATGTTCACATTATGGAGTGCCAGAAGGAAAAGAGTAAGAAATCAAAAACCTATTTTAAAAAATGATAGAAAAACTTCCTTAACATGGTGAAGGAAATAGACATAAAAGTCCAGAAAGCACAAAGTCCCAAACAAGATGAACTCAAAAAGGCCCACACCAAGATACATCATAATTAAAATGCAAAAGGATCAAAACAAAGAAAGCATCTTAAAGGCAGCAAGAGAAAAGCATTTAGTTACCAACAAGGGAGTTCCCATAAGACCGTCAGCTGATTTCTCAACAGAAACTATGCAGTCCAGAAGGGAGTGGTAAGAAATATTCAAAGTGAGAAAAGCAAAGACCTACAACCAAGATTACTCTACCAAGCAAAGCTATCATTTAGAATCCAAGGACATATAAAGAGCTTCCCAGACAAGAAAACTTTAAAGGAGTTCATCACCACCAAGCCAACATAACATGAAATGGGTCTATTTTAAGAAGAAGTCTTCTTTAAGAAGAAAACAAGAAAAAAAAATTAAAAATATGAACAATAAAATGGCAATAAATACATATTGATTAACAATTAACTCTAAAAAAATAAACAAGCAGAACAGATATAGACTCATAAATACAGAGAACATTTTGATGGATGTCAGATGGGAAGGGGGATTGTAGAGAAGGGTGAAAAAGGTGAAGGGATTAAGTAGTACAAATTGGTAGTTACAGGATAGTCAAAGGGATGTCAAGTACAGCATAGGGAATATAGTCAATAATATTATAATAGTTATGTCAGATAGGTAAGATATTTATTGGGGTGATCAGTTATTAAGTTATATAATGTCTAACCACTGGGGTGTACACCTCAAACTAAAATAATATTGAATGTTGCCTTTAATTGAAAAATAAAAAAAAAATTTTTTTAAAGGAAAACTTCAAGGGTTTATCACAATGCTTAGCACTCCATAGGTATTTAATAACTTTCTTTACTTTCTCCTAAGAAAAAAAATGCTCTAACTCTTTCAAGACTGTTTCAAGCTTCAAAATAATTTTGTCAAAATTTCCCTAACAGTTTACTGTACAATGTTGTGTTATAGTGTGTTCTAGTCACTAAAAAAAGAAAATATGCATGATTTCTCAAATCTCTGGGTACAAATCCAGATTTAGTGCCCACAAAGAAAGGAACTAGAATAGCTTTCATTATCAAAAAATGCTTTCACCACCTCTTCAAAAGCTTTTGATGGGATAAGAAAATGTAATGTGGAGCAAACACCCACTTAAAATGCCTTGATTTGTCTTCTCCTGTAAAGTAAAGCCATTGAGAATTTCAAAATGTATATCTTAAAAATTTACCTGTACAAAGCACATATGGGAAAGGCATCCTAAAACAAGGCAAATCTGGGGTGATTCTACTATCCTTGAACCCTAACATTTATAACAAGACTGTCTTCAGTTCCTATTCCACTCTAGCTATCTAAATGTGCATGTGTACCAAATCACAATCACTGAAATTAATCATTGTGCTTCCTTATAATTAAGAGTCTGGATGCTACACTGAAGTCTAAGAAATTACTATAATTTGGAGGCATGAAATTTCAAGATCTTCTTTAAGACACATATTAATCCTATCTGGCTGATGCTTAAGAGTACAAAAATACAATTTATTCTAGTGCTTTTTAATATCAGAGAAATTTATAAAATTGTTGGGCTACAGAATAACAATTCTTAATTTTACATTAAATAAATGACTTTTTTAAAGCTATCAATGACATTTAAATAAAGCACTCATTAAAACAGTTGTCTTTGTTTTTTCTAAACTCTTACTAAGATACTTAGAAACTTTTCCTACTCCTGACAATTTCCTATGGATGATTAGCATTAAGTTTACAAGCAAATATGGCTTCATGGTGAAAAAAAGGATTCAAGATACAAACACAAAGAACTTTTAATAACTTAAGCTAAAACATGACAACATCCTATACTTCATCTTATCACCTATCTTGATGCCATTACCATGATCATCTATTGCCTACCTTTCATTTCCTATAAAGCAAAGAAACACATCTAAAATGAATAGCATAGCCCAGCCAGTGTGGCTTAGTGGTTGAGCATCAACCTATAAACCAGGAGGTCACGGTTCCATTCCTGGTCAAGGCACATCCCCAGGTTTCAAGCTCAATCCCAGTGGGGGGCATGCAGGAGGCAGCCGATCAGTGATTCTCTCTCATCATTAATGTTTCTATCTCTCTCTCCCTCTCCCTTCCTCTCTGAAATCAAAAATATTTTTTAAAAATATATAAGTAAATAATATTAAATGAATACTATATACAATTCTGATCGTGTGAAACATAACAACAGGTAAAAATCAGAATGAGCACATCTTAAATTCACCTAACCATATACTCGGGCTTCATTAACAAATTCATAATACAGATGGGTCACTGACTCACAGTGGTTCAATTTATGATTTTTTTTTTACTTTTACGAAAGTGATAAGCATTTAGTAGAAATGGGCTCCAGTGGTTGGCAAACTCATTAGTCAACAGAGCCAAATATCAACAGTACAACGATTGAAATTTCTTTTGAGAGCCAAATTTTTTAAACTATATAGGTAGGTACATTGTTATTAACTTAATTAGGGTACTTCTAAGGCTTAGGAAGAGCCACACTCAAGGGGCCAAAGAGCCACGTGTGGCTTGCGAGTCGCAGTTTGCCAACCACGGGGCTAGGCTAAGTTATGATGTTCGCGGTAGGTTAGGTGTATTAAATGCATTTTGGACTTGTATTTTCAACTTCTGATGGGTTCATCAGAATGTAACTCCATCATAAGTGAAGGAGTACTTGTAATATCCAACAAAACTAGCATGAAACTAACAAGGAATGTTAGTAATCAAAGACAATGCTGACATAGCCAAATATCAAATAAGATAAAAGTGAACAAGAAGGCAGAATAGTTTTCAAGAGCGTTGTGTCACCATTTCACAGTGAAACATCATGAATTTATTTGCAGTGTTTGAGGTATATATAAGCAAATACTAAAAATTTTTAAAGAGCATTTAGAGGAAAATAATGAGATAATTTCTAATACTATTACCTAGAATTAAACACAGTATTTTAAATAATATGTTTAGTCAAAAGCTAACTATAAACATAAAAGATATATAGGTAGCTTAGATTTAGAACAAAGTTCATGTAAACTTCTATAAAGCAAAACTATTTTCCGTTAAAAAGGGTTATTACTCTTATATTCTTGCTCTTTTTAAAAATTTTAAATATGCACAAGTAAAATCATCCTCATAAAGATAGAGTGAGAGTGAGTGTGTGTGTGTACACGCACATACAGAGAAAAAGGACTATAATATATAAACAAATGTTAAAAATAAAAAATCCACAGTCAGGCCATACAGTAACTTTTTATTTTGCTCATTTTATTCCTCTATATTTTCTGGAGTTTTCATAATTAACCTGTACCATTTCTATTCTTATAAAGACATCATTAAAAAAATTATTATGCTTTCCTCCAGGATTCATCTTACCTTTAGTGTGAGGGTAGTCAAAAATTTGAATAAAAATCATTTGTATCTAGATCAGCGGTTGGGCAAACTTTTTGACTCGAGGGCCACAATGGGTTCTTAAACTGGACCGGAAGGCCGGAACAAAAGCATGGATGGAGTGTTTGTGTGAACTAATATAAATTCAAAGTAAACATCATTACATAAAAGGGTACGGTCTTTTTTTTTTTTTTTTTTTAGTTTTTTTCTTTTCAAACGGGCTGGATCCGGCTCGCAGGCCGTAGTTTGCCCACGGCTGATCTAGATCATCACTCAATAGAGCACTTTCTGCAATGATATAAATATTCTATAATCTGCCCAATATAGTAGCCCCTAGACACATGTGGCAATTGAGCACTAGAAATATGGTTGGTGCAGGTCAACAACTGAATTTTTAAATTATTTAATTTTCATTTTTATTTAAATTTAAAGACAGGTGGCTATGGAGAGTCTATAGCTAGCTAATTTTTAAAGCTTTAAAAAAACTGAATATTCAATCCACATACTAAATACTAAGAAAGC